CACACACACACACACACACACACACACACACACACACACACACACACACACACACACACACACCTACTGCACCCTGTTACTGCTGCAGACATAAACCGTGCCAGAATCCCGGAAAAGTGAAAGAAAAATGAAGGAAGCATTTCCTGAAGAGGGTAGGCTTTTCCAAGTGCGCTTTAGGATTGTCAGGCTCGTATTCTCGACACATCAAATTTTTAGAGAATACTTTCTCTTATAATCACTTGTGTGCTGTGAGATAATCCGAGAAAAGAAAAGAAAAAACGGAGAAGCAAAGCAAGTATTTCCTGAGGAATTTTTATAATATCAATAGAGATTGGAATTTTTACTTTCCTAGAATGTAATGTGGGTTATTAGTTCTAGAAATAATTTCGGTTGTTACGCACGTGTATACTACGATATGTAAATATGAATAAGAGGAAATACAGATAAATAAAGGACGCGTTGGAGAATCTGATATTTCTCGGGTATCATATTGACCGGATTTTATTTGTTGGACGAATTGTTTGTTCGAGCATGACCGTCCTTCTGCGGCAATACCTTTTTGGATAAGGTCGCACCGGGGGTGAGTCATGCTTTCGTCGGTGCGTTTTCCATGTATCGACCTGCGGCAGGGAAACGCAGGATTGGTCGGTAGAAGCTCACTAGCCTCGTATTCACGCTGTCACCCCGACAGTTATCGATTTGGCATAATGGAGTATAATTTAATTTGTTTCTATCGAATTGCCCAGTAATCAAATCAGCATGAAAGCGACAATGGAAATTAGGTACGTTGTCGTTACTTTCGATGTGTGTGGAAACATCAATACTTTTATTCCACCGGACCTCATATAAATCTCGTGTGAAGAATTCGATTTATTCGTGTAAATAATTCAAACTCTTTTGATAGACTTTTATCGGAAGATTGGTATAATTCTAATAGACTCTTCAAACACATATAATATATTTCATACAATAATGTATTTCAATATTATTAACACGCGCAAACGATTTTTATCCGAATGAATGTTTGAATGAGTGTTCAAATAATTTTTGATGATTTGATGAAAATATCGAATTCTTTAGCTGTGAAAATACGCAGGAATTCGCTGAATAGTTTGTAATTATCGGAATGTGTGAATATCCGCACCATGACTCGCGACGTTATCAACGTTTTACGATATCCGGCATGAAGGAAAAATGGAATTTAATAATCTGCGCCGAGATACCGAACGGCTCTAGCAGAGAAAAGAACCGATCACCGATTGCCTGTCGCCGTTCCACGCGTGTGCACGAACGCCGCGGTTCGACTATCACCTGCGCTACTAGTTCTCCGTTATTTCATTGCAAATTGCTCGAGCAACGCTTAGAGTTATACAGTTATCACAATGAGAAAGTTGTTCCGATCCGACGTAGAGAGACGCACGAGTGGCTTCGTCGTGATCGCGACGTAGTACGACTCGAATTCGCCACGTATAGCCATAAACCTTGAACGGGCGAAATAAAATCACTACGTGGATCACGAAGAGTAAATTTACGGCGCAACTCTTGATCTGCCGCGACAGTCCATAGAAAATCATCCTTACGTCTTTCCTCGATTGTACTTCTTATTTTTTCAGTATTACTCGTAATATAGTTGATGGACAATGTTATGAATATCATCATCCTTTTGCGCAATGAATCTAAAAGGATAGATCGACGGAGAAGGACAGTAGTAACATGACGAGAATTCAGAGTTTACTAATTGGAGAATCTCTCTATCTATAGATTTTACGAATCTAAGAATTTCTAAAGTACACGTTCTAACGAGCCTTAATTGATTTATGAAGCCTATGGCATTCGTAACTTGAATTAAAAAATAAGAGGCGAGCACTTCTACTTGAGACTTCCGGATTTGAAAAAATACATACAGTAACATCGTTTAGAAATTATTAATTTAATCGATCATGTCGATCAAAATATTTATTAGGCGGAAACACGATAGGTGCGAGAGATTAGTATTACAAACTTAGGGAGGGAGGATATAAATTTTTTTATTGTATTTATTATTAATTTTTTATCATATTTTCATTATATTTTTTGTTAATTTTTTGTTATATTTATCATTTATTTATTTTTGTTATATTTATTTATTAATTCGTGCACAGCTGAGTGGAAAAAAATTTTACGCTACTTCCTTCTTCCGTTTTGTGCCGTTCGGCCGACCGAGTGGCAAATCGCGCACACGTGACTCAGGTGTTCCGGTCAAGATCTCATTGCTTTTTGCGCCATAAGGTGGCAAGGTGAAACATCGCGAAAGGAGACGAAGAAGGACGCGCTCGCGAGACACGCACGCAGGCTGCAAGAAGACGCGCGTGGCCCTTGAATCGCTGTTCGTTGGAAATGAAAGTAACGCGTTTCGAATGCCAGCCATACGTATGGATCGATCTTTTGTCTTCCTCTCTATCTCTCTTTTTCTCTACAACCCGATTTATCCTTAAGCAAGCGCCGTAGCGTAAATGTTGAAAGATACGATCGTCCTTGAACGATAAAGCTCGCATTCCGTCTCAAGTAGTGACTCGGTCGCGAGACTCAAAGATATCACTTGCGGTACATTCCTACGATTTTCCAATTTTCCAGAAGCCGAGAGCTATAAAATTCTCATTTTTATGACGAAAAGAAAAGGAACAAGCGTTATTATATCGTTAAAATGCGATACATCTATCTTCATCCTGAAATCTTCACCCTGAAAAATTGAACATAATGTTAAGATAAGCAAACGGTGAGTGGAATTTTATTGCTTTGAAGGATTATTTATTTTTCTGTAACATTATTTCATGATTATTACTCATCATTTTATACAAGTACTTTCTTTCTCTTTCGTAGTCGAATCAGTAAGAATATATAAAAATATGAAAAATCATCAATGAGAAAACTATGTTGCGAGTTTACACAACTAAGTGTGAGAAATTACTATCCCTGTGAAAGGATTTGACTCGTCTATTTTCCAGATGATGGTTTATCACCACAGTTACGAGTTACGAATCGCAAATATGTATATTAACATTGTTCACGTTCTCTTCGTTTGCTCGGGGTAACTAAACGATACTGTGTCCAGTTTCACTTTTCGTGCCGAGCCGCTAAACGGCGTTCAGAAATCTTTCCGCGCGCATCGCTTGTGAAATTCCTCATTGTCCCGTGGTGGTGATGGTGGTGTAGGAAGGAGAGGTGGAGGAGGAGGAGGAGGAAACGAGGGGCGTATGTGTGCCAAGAGGTTTTTCTCAGTCGTCGACCGCGATAGATACGGTCGGATTGTTCGTTCGGCGGAGAAAAGTCTTCACTCTCTTGACGGGCTAAATCTGCAATTCAGAGAGCGTATGGGTTGAAAATAATATCTTGAAAGAAAAATTGTCGCCCTTAGAAACAAGTCCGATTGCGATCTTTTCATTTGATTTTAAGTAAACGAAATTTCTCGTTTACTTTTTTTTAATTATCCACGAATAAAAACGTAACATGGAATGATTCATCGCTGATTTACTGGTATCTTGTTACGTTGCGTTCTAATCCATTCGTTTTTCGCCAGTTTTAAAAAATGTCTTAAATATTTTGCAAATAATAAAGGTATATAGAAATTTTAATAAGTGAGATAAGAAGTCAAACATAAGGCTCTATGATCTTTTTCACATGTGCTTTCAGGACCAGTTCGAAAATCTGTCCCTGCACACGCAGAAAGGGATAGAGTTCCTCGAGAGATATGGCCACTTCGTACGTGATCGTTGCGCTATCGAGGTGGAATATGCGGCAAAACTCAGGTGAGAAATGCGGCATATTCATGAAAGTAAAAGTTAAGGGATGTAAAAGGGCGGAAAAAATTTCGAGACGTGACCTAGATACTTCGAGAGCATCTATCATCGATAAAATGTATCGCCTATTTTTATTTTTTCCTTTTATGTAAAAGTTAATGTTTCGCAAAAAGTGTCTCGAAATTCGCCGGCATAAGCAGGTGCTATAGCAGGCTCCGTCAATGTCTCGTGCACCTTACACCTTGCACCCTGTCGTGCGAGTCGTACTTGTGCTGCTTGTTTTTCCCGAGGTGCCCGAACAAAGGGTGAGGCATCCGAGGCGAACGATTTCAATGGGACATCCTGTATAACGAGCGTGTCTCACGCACCCTGTGAGTTCAGGGACGCTGGATATGTAGCTAGTAATATTGTGTTAAAGGGGTCCCTTGTCCGCTCCGTGAATGCCGTCCACTGTGGCGCACTTTTGTTCTATCGGGTGTCTCGAAATCCATCCACTCCCGCGCTTAATTACTCCGTTTTGCATTACGCTTAATTACTTCGTCGCGTTCTTCGGCGTTATTGTGCGCCACGCGTTGCGCGAAAACGACGCCGGCACCTGCACGCAATATCGGTCATAATTAACGCCTACTCTGCGACTCAGTGAAAAATTTGCGAAGGCATAACTAATGTGGAACTATTCCCGACGAAAATAACATTTCAGAGAAATGAACTTTCAGAGAAAATTTATCTCACAGAAATGAGATAGGAGAAATGACGGATAATTATATAAGACCGCTAATTATTAATTTATCACTAATATTATTGTGACTCTTATTATTTGCAAAAATATTAAAATTGTAATTGTTGAAACTCTGTTACAATACGGTGGAGTAGTTATGCAAATCTCTGGTCTCGAACAAGATGCAAGCACCGTCGAAGTAACATGCGCTATGAGAAGATACCAGTGAATTTCGACCCTTGGAGTGCACGAGAGGGTTAATCGAAGCGGGCGTGTTGAAACGAGCGATGATTTCGCGCGCTTCGCCGCGCACGTTCGCCTCGCTGTTGCATACGCGCAAATCGTCATGAGCGCACGTACCTCGTCTTGAATGTCACCGCAATCTCCGTCGCAACCACCGACGATTCACTTTCGTGCAAAATCGCGTGGTCAGCGCTCCGAGGTACTCTCTCTCTAGGGCATCGCTGGAAATTTTATCCGCGATTCCGTATAATACTCGGCAAATTACCCGGCTACCAACTAACCGGAAAATTACTCGTAAGCACGTAACATCCGGAACACACAGAGAGCACCGTTGGTGAAGTGTCCGGAAGAAAATCACGTTTATACTTGGGTAATATCTAGAAAATTCATGAGGCCGGGGGAAAGAGGTTACCTACCGGCTGATCCTCGGAAGATTAACTGGATAATCGAGTAACATCCGGAGAATTATCCGAGCTATCGAGTTAACACCGCGAAATCTCGTGTACATAGTCGTCGAGATTATATAGCGCGATATAGCGCTCTCGTAGCGTGATATATTCGCGTGTTATCCGAAGCAAGCTTCTGAAGTTACACGATTTCTTGTAAACGATTCTGCACAAGACAATTTTTACAGCAGCGAAGGAACTGGCGCTTTGTTCCGTTCCTCTTTTCTCGTCTCTCCGCGATTTTTCCGTGGAATCCTCTTCGCCCTGCTCCACGCCGTATCAAGGGCAGAGCACGTCAGATGCCGTGCGATAGCGTATTTATAGTCCGGTGGCCGCACCGTAAAAATTAAAACGGCACGCCCAGATCCGCATTTAATCCCGCGCCGGACCGAAAATAATCCTGCGCTCTTTCGCGAGATCTGATAGTCGCTTCGATTATCGCGAATTCGTGATTTAACTCTCTGCGATTTGCCATCATCTCGTAATGCAAAACGACGCGTATGAATTCGCGATCGGCCCGTAAGAGGAAGAACTGATCGCTGTTCAGTAAGACAAAGAATCCACGAAAAGCAGGAGCAGCACGGTGGCGGTGGTATAGAAATCACTTCCTGTCGATTCACTTCCGGGTTACCTAATAGCTCTGTTCGTACTAATTACATAAGCACTGCTGACGATAAGCCGCGATGTCATTTCACCTCCGTGAGAACGACACGCGTGTGTACTAATAATCTCTTTTCCTTTCTTTGTTACAGACGTCTCGTGAAGAGCTATCAACCGAAGAAGAAGGAAGAAGAGGATTATCAGTAAGTATAAAGCTACTCTCTCTCTCTCTCTCTCTCTCTCTCTCTCTCTCTCTCTCTCTCTCTCTC